AACATAGGGCCAAGCATATATTTGGAATGTGACTGACAGCTCCATCAGTTCACATGGGATAGAGGGGAGATGGTTCCCCACAGAAGGAATAGTGGGCGAAAAGAAACAGTACATGTGCACTGTCGTGGGTGAAGGGCTCAGCACAGCACTGGCACATGGTAACTGCTTATGACACTGTGGCCACCATTGTGGCTCAGTAAATAGTCGCTAGTGTTAACAGTTTTATTTGTTTATTTTTGGTAGTACTGGGAATTAAATTCAGGGCCTTGCACCTGCCACGTGAGCCATGTCCTCAGTCCCTCTACTTTTAGGTTTTTTCAGATAGGGTCTCATGCATTTGCCCAGGGCTGGCCTTGGACTGCAGTCCTCCTATCTCCACCTCCTGAATAGTTGGGATTACAGGTGTGCACCACCACACAAGGACTTCTTTTTCTTTATTACTTAATTACTTATCAAGTGAGCTGTTTTGATATTAAAAAGTCAAGCTTTTTTAATTCAGCATTAATATTTTATAAACATACTCTAAGCCACTGACCCTTTATAATTACGTACTTAGTAAATCATAACCTTAGTTTTAGCTTTAGGTAGAAGTTTGCCTTCCCTACTAACCACTTTCATTCTACCTCTCCAGGGTGACTTGAGTGCACATAAGTCAATAGTTATTTCCCCCTTCCCCCCCGATTGTGAAGTCCTTGAAGGTGTTACTTAGACAGTAGTGCGTGCTTTCATACTTCCCATGATTCCTAGAGGAATGGGAGGCCCATTTGCCAAAATGAATGATTAAAACCCAAATTCCTTTGGAACCTTTTAGATATGGAAACAATTGCTCTTGATTATACTAAATTGTGGACTTGCTTACTGTGTATTTTTCAGGAACCTTATTTAAAACTCAATGCACCTCTTGTGGAGTTGTGGCTGAGAATTACAAGAGTCCAATTTGTCCAGCTTTATCAGGAAAAGGGTAACTATACTGCATGACAGAATAAATAGATGTCATTTTCTCTTTTAAGTTGAACATAAATATGGGGAAACCAAACATTCATTGAAGGCTGGTGTAGTGGCTCAAGCAATAGAGCGACTTCCTAGCAAGAGTGAGGTCTTGAGTTCAAATCCTAGTACTGCCAAAAGAAATTCATTGATGATTCCCGTGGATACTTACGAAAAATAACACTAGACACAGTACAGACACATGATAAAAGAAATATTGGGCTCACAACTACTTACAATGTTAAGTAAAAACTATAAGATACTGAAAAATATACAGTATAATACCAGTTTTAAATATACACACTCCATGTTTGTGTATCTGTATATTAATTAAAAGCCCAGAAGGAAGTACAACAAAATGTTAGTAGCGATTATCAGAAGTGGAAGAATTATGGATAACTTTTATTTTTTTGTGGTGCTGGGGATGGAACAAAGGACTTCAAACATGCTAGGAAAGTGTTCTACCACTGAGCCATGCCCCCAGCCCCTAGATAAATTTTTTCTTTCTTTTCCAACATTTCTGTGATGAGCATATAGTATTATTATAACTAGGAAAAAATTTCAGAGTGTCCTCATGATACTAGGACAAGTTCTGCTGGGCCATTTTAGAACATTTAGAATATTTAGTTACATAAGTGATGTGTGACTATGACGTCATTGAGGAAGGATCACATGATGGTGATGAAATTGAGGCGTCACATGATGGTGGAGTGTACAGGGTACATCATGAAACTCCTCCTAGCACGCTCAGCCATTCTGGCCCTTCTCCGACAAAAACTCACATAAAACCACTGGTCATTATTTGGGGCCACCCATCTAGTACCCTTCTCAGTTGGCCTCTGTCAGTAGGAGTTCTGTGCCATGTACTGCCAGGCAATGACATAGCTTATGGGTGTTGTTATTTCTCTTTCTTTGATTATAACAATGACATGAGTTGACCTTTTCTAATGTTTACTTCAGTGCTCCAGAATCCGGAACTCAAGATGCCAGAATCCCAGTTGACAAACTGCCCCGGTGGGTAAAAACTTTGATCTGTGTTTGATGTTGCAGATCACAAGAAAAATTAGGAATCTAAACCTAAACTTAGCTATTTAGATATTTATTTAGTGAATGACTTTTCTTTTTTTAACGGTACTGGGGCTTGAATTCAGGACCTCAAACTTGCTAGGCAAGCCCTTTTGTTTTTAGTTTGTTTTTCATATGGAGTTTTGTTCTTTTGCACAGGCCAGCCTTAGACCATGGTCCTTCTACGTCCACCTCCCAAGTAGCTGGGATTACAAGCATGAGCCACCACATCTGGCCATGAGATGCTTCTTAATTGCACAAGGGCAGAAACTAGCCCTGCTCCATGAGGCAAAAGGACAAAAGAGCCAAAAGAACATCTTCTTTCCTTGCCTTTTGTTTGTTTGTTTGTTTGTTTGTTTGTTTATTAAAGAAATAAAGTCTCACTATGTTGGCCCCAAACTCCTCAGCTTAAATTGATCCTACTACCTCAGCTCCCTGAATAGCTTGGATTACAAATTTATGCCACCACACCCAGCTCTGGCCCCTTTTTGCTTTGTGTTCTGGCAGATAGTTTGAGGTTCTGGGAAGTTTCTGGAGCTGCTATGTGACAGATGGGGATCCAGTACATAGAAAACATGAGGCTGGCATCCTGAAATTAGTCAATAAACATCAGCTGCCATCCTTCTGCTCCTTTTACTCTTCTTTGTCTTTTTCCCTCTTCTCATCCTCAGTGTTATTAGTCTAAAGTTACGGAAGCAGTAAAAGTTCTTCCAAAGATGAAATTGCAGGACCAAACAATTTTTGTAGATTTAAAAAAGAAAAATGCTGGGCATGGTGGTACATGCCTGTAATCCCAGATACTTGAGAGGCAGAGGCAGGAGGATCTCAAGTTTCAGGCCAGCCCAGGCAAAGGTAGGCGAGACCCTGTCTCAAAAACAAAAATGAAATCAAAAGAGTTGGGGGCATGGCGCAAGTGGTAGTGTACTTGCCTAGCATGCAAGGAAGGCCCTGGGTTCAAGCCCTAGCAACACACACACACACACACACACACACACACTCTAGAAAGATTTTTGTCAGTTTTTCAAAACTAGCCATGGAAACAGTGCTTCTAGCGGTTTTCTACAGAGCAACATTGTCAATGTGATGCTAACAATCGTTACTTGAAAAAAAAAAACGATGTTATGTGTCCACATAAATATGGAAGCCTTAGATTAAGTGTAAAAATACATTTGCTTCACTATGGGACTTGAGAGCTTTTATACGCTAAAATGCATTGTTGCTTTCTAAAAAGTGGCTATAAAATATTGCTAGTTCACTGCTTTATTTGCCCACAGAACTGCCCTTTTTGATTCGCTTATTAAGGCTTTTCATTACTAAATTCTAAAGTTTCAATCTGAAAAAATAGGGAGTGCTGTGGGTTTCCTGAGTAGGAGATTACTACGATGAAGATGGTATTTAGGGGCATGATTGTAAGTTTTTTTTTTTTTTTTCTGATGGTACTGGGGTTTGAACTCAGGCCCTCACGCTTGGTAGGCAGGCACTCTACCGCTTGAACTACTCTGACAGTCAAGGTGATGATTTTGGGTACACTGATGTATGTAAGATGACCAGGGTGAGAGGAAGTGGAAGAGGACAGATTTTATTAAGGATGCTGGAGAACTTGGCTACAAGTTCTCTCGAGAGAATGGATCTGAAAGAAAGGGAAGGGAGGTCCTGGGTGGAAAGCACGGGGGTGCAGGCATCGGAGGCAAATCTGAGGCCAGTGTTCCACCCAGGTGTGGTCCTGCCAGCAGTTTCCCAGAGAGTAATGCTGTAACTGAGGAAGAGGTCAAGCTCAGCGGAACAATGTCTGCACACTGGATGGACAGAAACAAGATGGGAACATCACAGCGCAGTTCCACTTGGCAGGATTCTAGGGGCTGTGCTGGGAGGGTGGTGTTGAAGGATCAGAAGTGGCCTGTTTGGACAGCCTGAGTTTGGGCAGCCCCCAGCCTTCCTCTGATCCTGGGCAGACCTCTGGCCCAGCAGCTTGGGTGACTTTGGGATCTCCTTCCAGGTGTGAGGAGGCAGGGTGTGGGGGCTTGCTTCGACCTCATGTGGTATGGTTTGGAGAAAACCTGGATCCTGCCATTCTGGAGGAGGTGGACAGAGAGCTCGCCCTTTGTGACTTATGTCTAGTGGTGGGTCACTCTTCCTTGTTCTTTGGGGTTCTTGGAAACACTGAAGTCTGGGGTGGAGTTTGTCATTGCCTCCTTTCCTTTCTCCCTTTCCTCCTCCTCCTTGCTCATGCTTTCCTCCCTCCCTTCCTTTCTTCCTGAAAGATGTGTATGGAGAGTCTTATGGGGTCCTATAGAAAAATTAAGAAACAATAAGAATTGATTGTAAAGCCAGGTGCAATGGTTCCTATCTGTAATCCCAGCCACTCAGAAGGCAGAGATCAGGGGACTGTGGTTTCAGGCCAGTCCAGGAAAAATTTAGTGAGGTCCCTTCTCAACCAACAACCAGGCATGGTGGTTATACTTATAATCTCAGCTATATGGGAGGCATGGGTAGGAGGATTGTGGTTCAAGGCTGGCCCTGGGAAAAAATGTAGAGACCCTATCTGAAATATAACTAAAGCAAAAAAGGGGCTAGAGGCATGACTCATTGGTAGAGCACCTGCCTAGGCAAGTGTGAGGCCATTAGTTCAAACCTTAGTACTGCCAAAATACAAAAATAATAAAGAAAAGAGCATGTTCTTGGCTCAAACTTTAAACATAATACATGTTCATTATTAAATGTCATTTAGAAAATACCAAAAAATCAAATTATAAGAAGGAAATGAGAAATCATCCAGAATCTACCTTGTTAGCATTTTGGTCATTTCTTCTAGACCACGGGTGAGCAGACTGCAGCCTGTGGGCCAGCCTGGTCTCACCCTTTTGTTGTGAATAAAGTTTTATTGGAACACTACCATGGTCATTCTTGCGTACACTGTTATGGCTGCTTTCGCACTCTGATGGCAGGTTCATGTCCTTATGGCAGAGACCAGATGGCTAAAAGCCTAACAAATTCACTGCATGGCTCTTTTCAGAAAAAAAACCTGCCCACTTCAGGTCTAGGCCTCTCCTTGTGTAGACACATGTGTCGATTATAATTCAAAAATGAATTCACAGCATATGTGCTGTCTCAGAACCATCTTATTCCTGTAGGAATTCACTTAGCATATTCCAAGTCAGTGCATCCCAGACTACATCTCCTTTTAATGACTTCATGTCAGTTATTTGGATATAAAGTGGTATGTCTAGCTAATCCTCTATTGCTAGATGTTTGGGCTATGTCAGAATTTTGATATTTTAAACAGTTCTGCCATGGGTAGCCTTTAGATACAAATCTTTAACATTCTAGTGATTTTCTCGGAACATATTTCCAAGAAGTGGAATTAATTGGACAAAGTAAATGCATATTTAACATTTTCCTTCCTGTGTCCTTAAAAGCAGAGGAACTTTCTATGAGTGTACACCCATGTTGCCAATGTTTTATTGAGTGATCCTGACATTGGCTGTGATATCAGTGTTCATGATGGATTGTTGAGTGAGAACCTGGGTTGCAAAATGTGTTCTGACCTTTCCAGTCCTGTAAAGGGTGTTTATAAGTCCATATTTATAAAACCTGAAATGTCAAAACTTAACAGTTCATCTTGGGGTGGTGGGATTATGGGTGGCATGCACATTTTTCTGTTGTATTTCCTAACTTAGAAAAAAAACATGTATCATTTATATAACTTCAAAGAATGGAAGCAAAAATAGGACCTCCCCCTCACCTCTTAAACATGTGGACTGGGTCGTTTCTTTGCCGCTCTAGCCTCTTGTGTATCTCCTTTTTGTGTGACACGTTCTTTCCGGATGCTAATGATGGCTAAAAGGATACTCCTAACTGTCCGCCTGTCCTTTGGGCATTCTCCAATTTCTGTCACTTTCTTAGCTTTGTTCACACCTGCGGCACAACCTGACCTGAGTTTATGTCAGTTTTTCCAAAAAAGGTTTTGTATCCCCATAGCGTGGTCATTGTCCCCTCCCCTGTGTTTGCTTTGTAGGTGGGAACTTCTTCTGTGGTCTACCCAGCTGCCATGTTTGCCCCCCAGGTGGCTGCCAGGGGAGTGCCAGTGGCTGAGTTTAACATGGAGACCACCCTGGCCACGAACAGATTCAGGTACAGGGGTGACCAAGGTGGGCAAAGGGAGGTGGAGAGCAGGCTTGGGCATGGCATCTCAACAGATTTTACCTACTGTTCTAATTTTTAGGGGAGAAGGAGGGAGTTTGTGTTTTTTTGTTTGACCTATGGTTCTTTTTGTTTGTTTGTTTGTTTGTAGTACTGTGGTTTGAATTCAGGGCTGTGCACTTGCCAGGCAGGTGCTCTACCACCTGACCAGCACCCCTAGTCCTTTATGCTTTTTTGGTAGTTTTTGAATAGGGTCTGTAGTGATGCTGGGCTGGCCTGGACCATCGTCCTCCTGTTTACACTACCTTTGCAGCTATAAGGGTGGGTGAGCACCACCATGCCCAGCTTTCATTACCGTGATCCTCCTGCTCTCACCTGGGATTACTGGCGTGAGCCACTGTGTCGACTGTTCTTCTTATGGAAGAACAAAATGTAACTAACTGCAGGCCAGGGTGGCTGTGTCTTTGTATGTAGGATTTGCTGTACGCTTTAGCTCTCTCTCCCGCTTTCTGAAAGTTCTCCGACTCTTTAGACTTTACCTGCACTTACATTTTTAAGGTAGCCTTGGTAATAACCATTACGTGTCAGTTAGCAGAGCTCACCGTGGGAAATGGCCGCACAGCACCTCATTTCCCGTTACTCTCTTTGTGAGTCGCCTGAGAAAACTTGTCCCTTAATCAAGGAATCTTTGTGCTTGTGGCTATCTTACGGTACTGGTGCTGTTCTGCGAGGTTGCACGGAAGTGCAGTCACGGTGGCACACGTTTTTCAGTCTCATTCCGGGGTCCACACTAGGCTTTTACCTTTACTTTGCTGTCTTGCTCATACACCCCCTTTTTTTTTTTTTTTTTGCTTTTACTTTTAATTTGTTGCTAGTCTGCTTAATTCCTTTCTAGAATAAGCTAGAATATAAATAAGTAATAAATACAAATGAAAAAACAAAACTTCACTGAAACTTCATGTCCTTACTTCCACGTTGGCTGCATATTTAAGAAATATTGGTGACCTGGGCCCCATCTCATGAGGTCCTGAGTCATTGATCTGAGGCTCAGAGGACGTCATGACTTTTATAAGCTCCCTGGTGATCCTGTCATGCAGCCAGCATGTGAACTGCTGCTCTCAGTCTTCTGTGGGATAGGCCATGTGCCGTAGCACTTAAAACAGCATCCTATGCAGGTGAGATGTCTGACTTTGGTCCTGGTGTTTTTATGTTCCTGTAATCAGCTCCAGTCTGTGTTCTTAGTCCACAGTTCTTCATTTGTAACAAGTGAGAACTTCTTAGCTCTCTTTTTGGAAAAAGTTCTTTTTCAAAAAAATTGTCACTTATGAAAAATTTATACTCCCAAAACTACAGAACATTGCTGAAAGAAATAAATAAGCCTAAATAAAAATACATCTCATGTTTGTGGATTGGACAACTTAATATTAACAAACCCAGTCTCTATCAGAATCACAGCTAGCTTTTTGCAGAAATTGACAAGGTGGCCCGAAAATTCAAGGAACACTTCTGCCAAAGCCAAAAGAACAATGTTGGAGTACTCACACCTCCCAATTTCAGAAACTGCTATAGCGTTACTTTGATTAACGCAACGGTATATGTGGTGTAAGGACAGATATGTAAAATCAGTGAGACAGAGCCGAGAATCCAGTCATAAGCCCTGTGTTTGTGGTCAACTGATTCTTGAAAAGACTGTCCAGACAGTTCAGTTGGGGGGTGGGGAGGATAGGCTTTTCAACAATGGTGTCATGTAAAAGAATGAAGTTGGACCCCTTTGTCACAACATGAACAAAAATTAACTCAAAATGGCCAGAGACCTAAATTTAAGAGTTAAAACTATAAAATCCTTGAAAGAATATTGGAGTAAATCTTTGTGACCTTGAGTTAGTTAAAACTTTCTTAGATATGACATTAAACGCAGAAGTAAATGACTAAATTTATTTAACAAAATTAAACTTTTGTATTTCAATGGAGGCTGTTCCATTGTGGGTAAAAAGTCCATCCACAGAGTTGGAGAAAATATTTATAAGTCTAATGTTTGATAGATAGGTATATAGAATACATAAAGAACCCTTACAATGCCAAAAGATAATCCACTTAAAAATGGGCCAAAGACATTTCTCAAAATATATACATATGGCCAATAATTATATTCAAATGATGTTCGGCCTCAGTCATTAGGAGAATGCAAATGAAAACCACAGTAAGATGCCACTTCACAACCCAGAACGACTATAATTTCAAAAGGAAAATAACAAATGTCGCTGAAGACTCTGCATTGCCTGTGAGAATGCGCAGTGGTGCAGCCGCTTTTGAAGACAGCCTGGCATGTCAGCTAAATATTAGTTACTGTAGGACCCAGCAATGCTACTGCTTGGCTTACAGTCCTAGACAATGGTCCTGGAATTGGTATATGAATGTTCATAGAAGCATTGTTCACAGAAATAGTGGAAACTGCCCAGATGCCCATCAACTGATGGATAGATAACCACAATTTCATATATTCATACAGTGGAATGTTTTCAGTCAGAAAGGAGCAGAGTACTGATCCACACTGCAACATGAATAGCCCTTGAAAACATCATGCTAAGTGAGAGGAATTCATTAAAAGAACCCCACATATTGTTTGACTCTACTTACATGAAATGTCTGTATCAGCAGAAGGTAGATGAGTGGTTGTTCAGGCTGAGGGTAGGAAGGAGTGAGTAGTGAGTATGAATGGGTATGGATTTTCTTTTTGGGTTGATAAGAATGTTCTGAAGTTGATTATGGTGATAGCTGTATAATTCCGGGACTAGGCACCGAATTATGCATGTTAAGTGAGGGGCTGTATGTGAGTTCTACTTCAGTAAAGCTGTTATACAAAAAGAAATTACCTCCTAACTTACCCATTGAAAAATGGACTTTAGGTCTCCCTCTGCTTTGCATTATGGAACATTTGTGTAGCAGACTAGCATCATTAAAAGTGATATCAGAGCCAGAAAACTTCAGCCCCTGGTCTGTTTGAGGGACCACAGTAATACTGATGAGGGGGATAGGATGACCCCTCTGAAGCAGGTCTGTGCTGTTTCCCCAATTCAGTTCTTATGTGGTTTATTTTCAGTTCTTTGATCTTCATCTCATCTCTAATGATTATAAAGAATTAAAGTAAATCATCATTATAGATTTGTAAGGAGAGACAGGAAAAAAGGAAGGAATTAAACTTGGGTGTCTGTATAACCCAAGATTACAGGTGACCTCTTCCTCTCCTGCTGTGGACAAACTAGCAGGGGCCCAGCATCCATTGCATATGGTGGCCATGTGTTTGTAGGATGGCCACTGGCTGTGACAGTATTTCCTGCAAATTAAAAAGAGGTTTTTGGCAGGTAATATACATCAGTACGGGAATTGAGCCTCATGAAACCAGAGACCTGCTTCAGCAGCTACTTCTTAACCAAAATTCTTCAGCTGCATGTCTTGAAAACCTGTGATGTCTCTGTTCAGACAGATGGGCAATTTGCTAGTTAGAAACTCTTAACCAGCTGGGCTTAGTATTCCCATCTACTTGGGAATACATGATCAGAAGTATTCCCACCTGCGTGATCAAGAGGATCACGGTTCAAGGTCAACTAATAAAAGATGCGTTGGTGGGGGAGTGGATTAGGGAGATGCAGGCCTGTCATTCCAGCTAGGCAGGAGGCCATAGGTAGGAGGATTGAGGTCTGAGTCTGACCTCAGGCAAAAACTTGAGACCCTACTTGAAAAATAATGAAAGCAAAAGGGGCTGGGGGTGAGGCTCAAGTGGTAGAGTGCCTGTCTGATAAGTGCAAGGCCCTGAATTGAGAGCCCCAGCTGTACCACCAAAAAAAAAAAACCTCTTACCAGTGTGGCAAACCATCATCCATTGATCCGTTGCTTTGCTGGTTTCTTTGGGAATCAGCTGGGACTGCCTGCACTGCATGTAACTGATCCAAGTGTAACTGATGAGTGTAGACAGCAAGACTTTTATCTAAGAGCCATCACAGCTGATATTTAGGAGCCATGCCTGATTGCCTTCTCATCCTACTCCATTTTTCACATGAAGAATCCAGCCCCAGAGCGATTGGGTGACATGTTTAAACACACAGCTTAACAATGGCGGAATTTTTCCTAACATTTTATGCTTAACAAATTTTGGTTAAGGCTCAGCAAACTATTGCCCATGGACCAAATTTGCCCACCACCTGTATTTGTAAATAAAGTTTTATTGGAACACAGCCATAGCCATGTGTTTCTATATCATCTTGGTTGCTTTGGGCCTATGATGGCCATGTTTGCAACAGAGACTGTCTGTTCTGCTAAGCCTAAAATATTTACTATGAAAGTATGCCATTCCCTGTTCTAAGTTAATGAGAAAAAGGAAAATTTGATACTATTTGCTGCTACTTTTCACCTGTATTATTTTCTGTATTACTTAAGTGGTTGCCTGGAATGCTATCTGTGTTTTGAATTTGGATGTCACAGGGCTCCTTAAGCCTGTAGAGGTTGTGTAGACTCTTTGCCTCAGTTCTAATTTAGAGACAAAGGCATGGAATTCACCTCCCACAGAAATGTATTAATATGCTCAAGGTGTTAATTAGTTCCAGTTTGGTTTTGGATGTCTTGGCTGATTGCTATTACATAAACCTCAGTCTTTTGATCAACCCTGGGGTCTTTGTCATGTGAGGATTTATACATTGCTGAGACAGAAATGGGATGTGTGCTCACAAGAGCTTGGGTGCAGGGCCTTCCACACACCAGGATTCTCTCTAGTCCTTGAAATTTAATTGAAGTCTGCCATGGACCAGAAACATTTTGGGTGCTAACATTTCAAGTAAACAAACATCTACCCTGTGGAGATGATAATGCTAGTGGGGAGGATGACAGAAAGCAGTAAACACAGCAACAAATTCTGCAGCTTGAGAGATGGTGAGGAGGCTGTGAGGAAACTTCACCACTCCACCCACTTCTCCAGGGTGTCAGGCAGGATTTACTGTCTGATGGAAAAGATTTGGGCAAAGGCTTGAAGCAGTAGGAGGAGTTAGCAGAAGGGATTGTCTGAGAGGAGCGCTTTCCAGACACTGGGAGCACCTAGAGCAAAGGTCACAAGGTGAAAGTCCAGCCCTGACCAAGCTTCTCTAGGTGGTAATGGATCACCAGTAATCGGGTAGTGACTGATTAAAGCACAGGAACAAATGCTGGGTAAGACAAGAGGAGGCTGAGCCAGAATACTCCACCATTCCACACACAGCACTGGGAAATTCTGCTAACAACACATGGCTGTCTCTTTTGCTTCTGCTGTGTACTTTGGGCTCTCTGCACTAGGACACTACTTGCCTGTCTTCGACGCTGTTCCTTTCTTTTGCTGAATTCAAGCATCCTGCTTTGAGGTGGTGCACATACCTCACAGAGTTTTTTGATTCACCTGCCAAGGTTCTGGAGAACGGTTTTGACACTGTCAGCCATCTCCTCACTATCCAGACTAATAGTTACACAAGGGTCAGAGAAGTGCCCCCAGGATCCCTTGCCATGAAGGACCTGCTCTTCAAGGAAGAAGAGACTCAAAGTCAGAACCAGTAAGACTGGAGAAGGGAATGACGTCTCCTGAAGAGCCAAGAAAAAAAGAGTAGAAACCCAGGCTAGGCATGGTGGTATATGCATGTGATACCGGCACTTCGGAAGCTGATGCAGGAGGAGCCAATCATCTTTTAATAGCTGTACTTTGCAATTTATTAGTAATTTTAATCAGATGATTACATTAACCAACAAAAATGGACTGAATAGCTTTGGAACGAACACAGCAGTCTTGGCTAGCCTGCAGCTGGCGGGAGGGCAAAGAGCACAGGTGTGCCATTTAAGGAGCCTGCCAGCACTGCTGTGCCCCTTCAGGATTCAAAACTGAGCAACTGTTTGTTGGCTCAACTGCAGAATCGCCCTCCCTGGCTGGCTTCGTGAGTCAAGTGCCTGTTGGAAGCCTATTACTCTTTAGTAAATCTAGTCAAACATGTTCCTTGACTTCTCCTTTTTAAGTAAAGGGTTATCCACATGGTTAATTCTTAGAATTTATTTCCTCAGAAGTTTTTCACTAATAAACTCATTTCCCCCCCCCACACACACACACAATAAAAATAATTTTAACTTGGGAAAAATAGTGGAAAAGATGTGATCCCAAATGTATTGGAAATACTTTTTTTTTTTTTTGTGGTATAGGGGATGAACTCAGGGCCTCACACTTGCTAGTCCAATGCTCTGCCACTTGAGCCACGCCTCCAGACTGTGACATTTTAAGATGTAATTGTCCTTTCATAGCTGTTTGATTCACTCTATCATCTTATTTCAAAATAAACATACAAGTCCTCCTTTAACAATTGGAGCTTTCACGTTTTTTTTTCTTTTCTTTTTGAGCTTGTATTTCCATTTGATCTTGATAGAAATGTGTACCAGTGTAGTATATTTTTATGCTTGAAAGTCTTTTTTTTTTTTTCCCTTAGTGCTGGATATTGAACCCAGGACCTTTCACATGCTGGGCAAGTACTCTACCACTGAGCTACATCACCAGCCCTCTTGGATGTCTGTTATTGACTCCCTTATTATATTTATGCAACAAAATGTTACATGAATTATTTTTTCAACTTTTTTAAAATGAAAAAGTCTTATAAAGAAATTCTACTAGATTGAATTACCACAATAGTTTGTAGTACAGATGGTTCCCCAGATTATAGTGGTTCAACCTAATGATTTTTCAACTTTGCTGTGGCACAAAAGTGACACACATTCAATAGAAACTGTGCTCTGAGTTTTGAATTTTCACTGTGTTCTACTGGTAATTTGTGGTCCGATCCTCTCCTGAGAGGACAAGTTACATCGAAGGCTACTCTACCTCTTTATAATTGTGCTCAGCTACTTTTTAAATTATCGCTTGTGCACTTGAAGCTCTTGCTTTTGCTTCTTATTCACTGTGTGTGTGTGTGTGTGTGTGTGTGTGTGTTTGTGTGTGCGCGTGCAGTGATTGCTTTTCTTTAAAGGAAACAAAAATCACAGAGTTTTCTTTTCTCTTGCACTTCTTTCCTCTCCCTGGTTTTTCTTTTTTTTCTAACTACAAGTCAGACAATTGTAGGGTCTAACGGGTGGTTTGGGAGGCTGGCTTACTCAGCTAAAATCCTCGCCTGTGTGGCACTGGGTTTCTGCCTCTTGTCCTCAGGACTTGTACATGTGGATGCCATCTCAGTGTCTCTCTGGGGGTATTTTTATTATTTTTAATTGCAAGTTGACAAGTCATAGTTGCATGCAGGGTACAAGGTGATGTTCTGGTCTGTGACTATATTATGAAAGAATTAAGCAAATTAATGTATCCATTCACCTCAAATGCTTACTTTTTATGGTGAGAATGTTTGAAATTCTACTCTTGAGTGATTTTGAAATGTATAATGCATTATTATTTACTATATTCACTAAGCTGTAATCTCAAAGGAAATCCCTCACCTTGTTCCCATCTAATTGAGGCTTTGTACCTTTAACCAGCATCTCCCTAGTTCTCACCACCCACCTCCCAGTCTCTGGTAACCGCCTCTCTACTCTCTGCTTCCCAGGGTTCTCTTATTTCACCTAGCATAATGTTATCCAGTCCTATCCATTCCATCTACGTTGTCACAAATGACAACATTTCTTTTTCAAGGCTGAATAGTATGCCATTGTGTATCTATAGCATACTTTCCTTATCCATTTATCTCAATGCATATTTAGGTGTTGATTCCATAACTTGGCTATTATGGGGGTGGGTTGTATTTTGATACAGGGTCTTGCTGTGCAACCTAGGCAGGCCTTGAACTCTCAGTCCTCCTGCCTCCGCCTCCCAAGTGCTGAGATTACAGGTGTGTGCCACCAGGCTTGGCTAGCTATTGTGTTCAATGAACATGGGTGTGAATATCTCTTCAATATATTGATTTTTAGTCTTTCTGGTAAATGCTCAGAAGCAGGATTACTGGACCATATGGTAATTCAATTTTCATCTTGAGGATCCTTCATGCAGTTTTCCATAATGACCGTCCTAATTTACATTTCAGCCAACAATGTCAAAGGTACACTTCTAGCTACGTCCTCCCAATACCTGTTACCTTTCATCTTTTCTGATAGTCGCCATTTTAATAGGTGTGAGACGACATCACATTGTGATTTGCATTTGCATTTCCCTCATGTCATATACCTCTTGGCCGTTTGGATGTCTTTACTTGAGAAATGCATATTCAGGGCTCTTGCCCATTTTTAAATCGTATTATTTGTGTTCTTTCTACAGACTTCTTTATATATTTTAGATATTAGTCCCTCACTGAAGGTATGGCTTGCAGATATTTCCTTCCACCCTGCGGGTTGTCACTTCACTCTATTGATTGCTTCTTTTATTGTGAGGAAGCTTTTCTTATTTTGGTGTAATTGCCTTTGTCTATTTCTGCTTTCGTTGCTTGTGTTTTGAGAGTCAAATCTAAAAATTCATTGTCCAGACTAATGTATAGTTTTCCCCTAATGTTTTCTCAGTTGTTTTACAGTCTCAGGCCTGTGTTCGGTCTCTAATTCATTTTGAGTTGCTTTTTGTATATGGAGTGAGATAAGGGTCCAATTTAATTTTTCTGCATGTGGGTGTCCAGTTTTTTCAACACCATTTATTGACTAGACTACCTTTTTCCCATTATGTGATTAGCACCTTAATAAAAAATCAATTGGCCAGATGAGCATGGTATCTCATGCCCCTAATTCCAGTACCCAGGAGGCTGAGGCAGGAGGATCATGAGTTTGACACCAGTCTGAGCAACATAGCAAGACCCTCTCAAAAAAAAAAAAAAAAAGACCACAGATTGGTTGATTAATTTCTGTACTCTATTCTGTTCCATTGGTCAATGTGTCTGTACCAGGTTACTTTTGCTTTGGAGTATATTTAGGTCAGGTGGTGTGATGCCTCTACCTTTGTTCTTTTTGCTCAGGATTACAGTAGCTAGTCAGGTGTTTTTGTGGTTCTGTATGAATTTTAGGAAATATTAGAATTTTGATAGGCATTGCATTGTAATATGGACATTTTAACAAATTAGTTCTTCCAATCCATGAACACAATATATCTTTCCATTGATTTGTGTCTTCACGTGCATGTGTGACTATATATATTTATATAGATACATATTTAATTTCAATTATGAAATTTGGAATACAATCACAAAATATGCTACAATCATATCTATCTATTAAAAATTCTTATTTATAGCGCATAAATGATAGTTGCTTTTTTAAATTCCCCTGCACACCAAAGTGTTAAATTCTTGAACCTCAGAAGCTACGTTAAAGAATGAGCCTGGTACAGTGGTTCACATGTTAATCCCAGCTACTTGGGAAGCAGAGACTGGAAAGATCAGGGTTCAAGGCCAGCCTGGGCAAAAAGTTTGTAAGACCTCCATCTCAACCAATAAAGGTTGGACGCAGTGGCACGTACTAGTCATCCCAGCTACAGGGTAGGAGATCATGGTCCAGGCCACCCTGGGCAAAAATGGAGACCCTACACAAAAAGAATAACTAAAGCAAAAAGAGCACGGGGGATCTGGCTTAAGTGGCAGGACACATGCCTAGCAAGTGCAAGGCCCTGAGTTCAAACTCCATTATTGAAAAAAAAAAAACCCACAAAATTTCAACATATTTCTAAGAATCTGAATACAACTAAGAAATGTGAGATTTGCGCAGTTGAATGTTTGTTTACTCTGCTGTATTTGGTCCTTCTATTCAGGTTCCATTTCCAGGGACCCTGTGGGATAACTCTTCCTGAAGCCCTTGCTCGTCATGAGAATGAAACTGTTTCTTAAGAGCCCTGTGGAAGGAAGCAATTATAGCATATCAAAGAACTAGCCACAAACAGATGAAATAAATGGTCTTGTGGAAGATCTAAAAATAGCCTTGGATTCCCTAGTGGGAATCCAACCTGTTGATAAGAGATTGGGTTTAGAAGTAACAATGGCAAATGCATTTACTTGGAGAAAGCTAGAAAACTGCAAAGTTAATGCATTTGGTTTGAACTGAAATATAAGTGTCTTATGTTTGATGTGTTTGGTCAGTTACTGGGAGGGAAAATTTGTAATTAGATTGTCTTAAAAAAAGAAAAAGGTAATGATCCTGACATAGTTCTACGCTTTGGGCAAAGGTAAGAATAGAGGAGCAAAACCCTGGTATTTTTTGTTTTGTTGGAAAATAAAATCATCCTCTACAGTGGTAATTTATCACATAAGCATGGTACCCTGAGAGTGTGCTTGTTGGGAACTTTTCTTCTTTTCAGTGCTTACCTTACTTGACTGCCTTGCCTCAAAGAACATGGGATGACTTACCAACAAGAAAGCAAAGTAACCACCAGATAGAAAATCAGGATGAGAAAAGAGAACAGTGCAGACGTATGGATCGCCCAAGGATGAACACGGCTGCCTAAAAGTTAGCTCTGGCTGTCTTGGCAGCCAGGGGGAAAGGAAGAAGTGATGGCTGTTTCTCAAGGTAATAAATGAAGAAGCACGTGGTCATAAATGAAGAAGCACACAGTCCCTGTGGGGTCTGCCATGCTTCCCCAGACACTAACGTCTGAAGGGAGTTTTCCCATTGAGTTTAAAAATTGATGCACTTTTTACTTTGGAATGAAGTAGTGATAAAACGGATCTTTCTTCAAACCCCACCAGCTAATGCAGCCCTTGGCATGCCTGCTGTGTGGCTGGGAGGAGTGGCCATTAGTGAAAGTGTGAAGATCACACAAAGCACTGTCCCTTGGCTGAGGTGAAGGGCTGTTTCACCTCAACCCTTGCAGAATTGCACTTACTGTTACACTCTTGGCTTTTTTTTTCTTTAATTCATATGTGCATACAATGTTTGGGTCATTTCTCCTCCCTTTCCCCCCCTCCTCCCTTGCCCCCCCTACCCCCTTGCTACCCGGCAGAAACTATTTTGCCCTTTGCTAGTTTTGTTGAAGAGAGAGTATAAGCAATAATAGGAAGGACCAAGGGTTTTTGCTGGTTGAGATAAGGATAGCTGTACAGGGAGTTGATTCACATTAATTTCCTATGTGTGTGTGTTACCTTCTAGGTTAATTCTTCTTGATCTAACCTTTTCTCCTATTGGCCTCAGTTGCTTTAAAGTATCTGCTTTAGTTTTTCTGTGTTGAGGACATCAAATGCTATCTTGGTTTTTTTGGGTTTCTTGCCTACCTATCCTCACCCCTCCCTTGTGTGCTTTCGCTTTTATCATGTGCTCATAGTCCAATCCCATTGTTGTGTTTGCCCTTGATCTAATGTCCACAT